TTTTCCCCCCCAGGATTATAAAGCATCATGGTAACAAAGTGGTACCTTCCAGTATGAGTCAGCACACATCTACAATGGACACATTTATAAGAAATGACAAGAGAGATGTCCCTTTCTAATGATACTCAGCTCCACCCCACCTCCTTCGTGCTGCTGGGAATCCCAGGACTAGAACACATCCACATCTGGATTGGCTTTCCCTTTTGTGCTGTGTATCTGATAGCACTCATAGGAAACTTCACCATCTTGTTTGTCATCCAGACTGAGCGCAGCCTCCACCAGCCCATGTTCTACTTCCTGGCTATGCTGGCTACCATTGACCTGGGTCTCTCCACAGCCACCATCCCTAAGATGCTGGGCATATTCTGGCTCAGCCTTGGGGAGATCATTTTTCATGCCTGCCTCACTCAGATGTTTTTCATTCACATCTTTACTGGCATGGAGTCAGTAGTCCTTCTTGCCATGGCTTATGACCGCTATGTAGCTATCTGTAATCCTCTCCATTATAGCACAATTCTTACTAACAAGACAGTATCCCTTATTGGTTTTGGTGTGGTTGGGAGGTCTTTCCTCACTGTTTTCCCTTTTGTATTCCTCATCTTGCGATTGCCCTTCTGTGGACACCACATCATCCCACACACATACTGTGAGCACATGGGTCTTGCTCGCCTGGCCTGTGCAAACATCAGGGTCAACATCATATATGGTTTGGGGACCATTGCTATCTTGGGACTTGACATCATAGCCATTGCTCTCTCTTACATATACATTCTCCGTTCTGTTTTTCGTCTCCCCTCTCATGAAGCCAGACTCAAGTCTCTCAGCACCTGTGGTTCCCATGTCTGTGTAATTTTGGCCTTTTACACCCCAGCTCTTTTCTCCTTCATGACACATCGCTTTGGCCAAAATGTTCCCCGCTACATTCATATTCTTCTGGCCAATCTCTATGTAGTTATTCCACCAATGCTCAACCCAATCATTTATGGAGTTAGGACCAAGCAGATCCGTGAAAGGGTGTTCAGAGTATTCATCCATTGATAAATAGTAGATGGGTCCCTCCAGGTTTTGTCTAGAGGCTTAAATGTTAATGTTTTCATCTAAGAAAAGAGAAGAGGCTTTGAAAACAGCAAATGCCCACTTAATGAGAAGGAGGTGGATGTCTTTTTATGTGCATTTTACCCTTTCAGGGAGTAGGAGCTTTTAATTTTAAATGCTATTAAGGTAGATGAACAATGATTCTATATGATTATTTTAAAGAATAACATAAGCCATGTTCATGATTCCCAGGAATCTAAGTGGTCAAATTACAGAAGACATTTTGCAACTGCCACTGTGGGTAACAGGTATTCCTTCTCTCTCTCTCTCTCTCTCTCTCTCTCTCTCTCTCTCTCTCTCTCTCTCTCTCTCTCTCTCTCTTTCTCTCTCTCCTTTACTTCCCTTGCTCTTCCTCCTATTTCTCTTCCTTTTGTTATTGATCTTTCTTTTTCTCTCTCTTTCCCTCTCCTTCCAATATTTCTCTGTCAGCCTGTGTCAGTGTATCTTACTATAGCTTTCTCTTCCTGCCCTGCCTTTGGTTAATATCCTGTTCATTTACTCTCCTACCTTTGTTTAGTATTCTGTTGATTTACTCTCAAAATGTAAATAGCTTTTTTTCTTATTTGTTTCAATGTGTAGTTGATTGATTCAGTAAATGGATTACTTTAGATAATGAAGAGACTGAATTAAGTTCCCAAATTAATGAGCATGCCACAGGACCAGATTGTGGTGAGTGTGGGGGGAACAGTATTTAAAAATATATTCATCAAAGAGCTACATTAAAAGGAATTAGAAACAAGAAAGTGAAGGTAAAGGCAGGAGGCCTGGGAACTAAGCAGAAGGCAATTATATTCTTACGGGTATTAGAAATTTAGTGTTTAAAACTAAATACATAGCATCTCATTAAAAACAGTTTCTATATGGTTTATAGAAGCAGTATTCATCCCCGCTACATTCATATTCTTCTGGCTGTCATATCAAATCTCTCTCTCCTCTTCTTAAAAATAATTTTGAATTGCCTGGTCTTGTTTATACATGTTGGTTGTAAAAGTAATTTGATTCACAAAAATCAGCTCTGTTTTTGTTAAGAAAACATAGAATTTTTCAATGAAATATGTTGAGAGTGAAACCTATAGATCTACAAAATACTACCAAATTGCTCAATAGGAAGAGACTATTTTTGTTTGGGAAGTGAACACGCACTCAGATAGCATGCATAAATTAATTACTGTTATGGACTCCCAGGACTACTTTTCTACTAGATACACAGAGGCATTTCTACAGCAGAAAACAACATGAGATGATCAGAGAAATTTAATAATTTATTTTTGCAGATTTGTGGGGACTCCTTTCACGTCCTGTGTGGTTCAGAGTTTCAGTTCAGGGTTCAGGTTCTGGAGAAAGCCACACACAAGGTAAAGAGATTAGAAAAGTATTAATTTGGCGATTTGGGGGGCCAAGTGGGGGCCCACCTCTAGTGGGAGGACTACACCCTGCTCTGGCCTTGCTATCCCTTTTATTGAGACTATGGGATACACTCACAGACTTTAGACAGGAGTCTCCAATGACAGAAATTTACATAAGACAACAGAGGTGGAGGCTGCTTCAGCTAACAATGTTTCAACTAAACAGTGAGTGGTTAGAACAATTAAGGTTGTTGACCAGCCTTCCCAGCTTCCCGTCCACATCTTCCTATTAGTGAAACAGTGATTGATTTCCAGCACCAATTCTTATGTAAGGTGTGCAGTAGAGTTAATACAGAGATTGAAAGGACCAAATAAGTAGGTAAGATTTACATCAGATCAAGTGTTTTCTATGTTAAAGGATTTGATCTTTGACTTATAATTATTAGAGTTTATAACATGAGAAGTTCTCTCATGTGTAATCTAGGGGCAAATTACATTTGTTATGACAAAAAGATAATCTGGACACATAACATGGACTTAAATTGTAAGAGACTATTATTTTATTGTTTCACGGACAACTGCTATGCTTGGACCTTATTGAACATTATTGCTTTCACATTGTTCTTACATTTAATTGTAAATTTACTCTTACTCTTTTTAAATTAAAACTAAAACTAACATACTTAAAGTACAATGATAGGCTTGGAACATTATTGGTTAATGGATTTTATTCTAAGAAATACATATTATGGATTATGTGACTAAGAAAGAGGCCCACAAATTTAGGTATGGGATTCAAACCATAGTATATTTGAAATCAGTACCAGTATGACCTTAAATTTAAAATAAAAATACACAAATAAATTATTCAAAATCATAAAATAGATAATACTTCTAAAGTTCTTATTGTGTTTCAGGCATAGTTTTATATACCTTATATAAATTGTTTGATTTCATTCTAACAGCAATTCTTTGGTATAGGTGCTATTTCTGTGCTGTAATAGGTGAGGAAAATGAGAAGTGCAGACTTAAAGTAGTTTGCCCAATGTCACGTAGGAGTGAGAGATGGAGCCTGGATTCCAATCCAGCCAGTTTGATTTTTACAATTATGCTACAATGTAATATATATATATATATATATATATATATATATATATATAATTTTAATGAAATAATTCAAGATATTCTTTTCACAATGGAACTTTTCATGATTCAGTATTAAGTGAAAAACTGCAAGTTATCAAATTGTATACAGTATGCAAAATTTTAAAAATGTAATTTTCAGATATAAATTTATGAGATTTTAAGCAATTTATGCCTAGGCAGTGAGATTATTTTGGAGGTTTTGTTAATTACATAAATGTTTAATGTTGATATATGTAATTGTATCATCATAAACTACTATTAAACTATGGAAGAAATGAAAGATTAAAAGAAAGTAACACTTGATATCTACTATTTAGTCATTACTTCTATTTCACATTTTTTGGTTTAGTTTTTAACCTAACTTAAAAACGAAAACTTTGCCAATGTTCCTAAATACAAATAACACTCCTGTATTTCACATCTTAATTATTGACCATCACTATCCGATTTCCGATATCTTAAGAAAAATAAAACATGGATTTATCCTTGATACATATCTTTCTCTCACAATCCACATACAAATTTTGAGTCAACTGCATTTATTCTTGCAAAAATCTGAGCATTTGTTGAGATAAAACAAAGCTCTGAGTATTTCTTGAGATAAATACAGTTATTAATTTAATTACTAAAATTCAAAACATAAGATCTCTAAAAGAAATAGTAAGATATGTATTTGAGATATTGGGGAAGGAAAATATATCTTAAAAAGGACACAGAAAAGAAGATACCTTGAATTTTATAAATATTAAAATATTTTATTATTTAAGGAAACAAAAGCAAAAAGGGCAAACCACAGACAGGGAGAAAATATTTATAATACATAGTTGAAACAAAGATCATGTAAGCAGACATATAAAGATATTCTCAAAGTCCGTTATTAAGAGATAAAAATACAAAAATACAAAAGAGTGGGCAAAGAACTTGAACATGTACTCATAAAAAAGATATGTAATATAAAGTTAATATGAGAAAAATGCCTAGAAAGTTTAATCATAAAGAAAATACAAGTTATCTCTTTAATAAAACGCCCTTTCAACATGAAGTAGTGACAATACAAAATGACAATACAAATAGGGAACAATTATAAATCTCATAAATTGATGGTGGAGGGTGAAAAGTATTATAATGTTAAATGTACATTCTGCTATACCCCTCCTATGACCAAAGTGAAAAATTTCACTTTGTAAAGTACAGGGGAAAATAATATAACCTGTTAAATAAAATTATAAGGAACAGAATGCAGCAATGGATATTGAGAAATGGTCTGAAGAAAAGATGGAAATAAGATACTTTCAGAAGACAGTCAACATAAATATTTTGACATAGTTTTTGTGAGAAAGTGTTTTTTTAACTTAAGTTCCATAAAATTTCACATTGGAAATTAATTATTAGGTGTCATTATGTTTTCATTCCTTATTTCTGAAATAATATTTTCTTCACACAGTCATAGATCTGCTTAGTTCGGACTCCATATATGACAGGGTTGAGCATTGGTGGCACAATGACATAAAGATTGGCCAGGAGTATGTGGATATAGCGAGGGACATTTCGGCCAAAGCGATGTGTCATAAAGGAAAAGAGGGCTGGTGTATAGAAGGCAAGAATTACACAAACATGGGAACCACATGTACTGAGAGACTTGAACCGGGCTTCATTGGAAGGAAGACGGAAAACAGCATGGAGTATCTGAACATAAGAAAGGGCAATGGCTATAATGTCAAACACTAGATTACAAATTGCACACAAACCATAAATAACATTGATCTTGATGCTGGCACAAGACAGCCGAGCAAGACCCATGTGCTCACAGTAGGTATGAGGAATGACATGATTCCCACAGAAGGGCAATCGCAAAATGAGAAATATAAATGGAATCACAAAAATAAATGCCCTCACTACCACACCAAGACCAATCACAGACACGATCTTGTTAGTGAGGATGGTGCTATATCTGAGTGGGTTGCAGATGGCCACATAACGGTCATAAGCCATTGCCAAGAGGACTGATGATTCCATCAGTGTAAACTTGTGAATGAAAAACATCTGGGTGAGGCAGGCATCAAAGATGATCTCCCTGAGGTTGAACCAGAAAATTCCAAGCATCTTAGGGATAGTAGCTGTGGAGAGACCCAAGTCAATGGTGGCCAACATGGCCAGGAAGTAGAACATGGGCTGGTGTAGGCTGCTCTCAGCCTGGATCACAAACAGAATAGTGAGGTTCCCTATGAGTGCAATCATGTACACAGCACAAAAGGGTAAGCCAATCCAAATGTGGAACGTTTCCAGTCCTGGGATTCCCAGCAACAAGAAGGAGGAGGGGTGAAACTGAGTGTCATTGGGAAGAGACATCCTGATAGATAATGCATAAGCCTTCAGAAATTTATGTTCATCCAATTGTACAGGTCACCAGGTAGTGTTCTGTAGCTTTGAAGACCTAAATATAATTTAAGAACACGTAAGTCAACTTCTCTCTTTGTTGTTATCATCACCAATAGAATCTTCCCTTCACGTCTGACTAATTTAGGATTCTGCCAGCTTATAAATATAGTGATGACAATTGTTCGTTAAGTAAATGACAACACACAGGGATAATAACTATCGATAAAAAATGGAAGTCAGCAACATTTATGACAATATATAAAATGTACTTTAAAGGGTTAATATTGGTCCCTCTGTTTTATTGAGCCTTATGTTTTTATTGATTTTTTTTATTATTATTTTTTTAGAGAGAGAGGTTTCTTGATTACCTTGTGAGTCCCCATTAACCTTTTGTTAACGTGATCTGTGTTAGAGCACACAGATTGAGGGAACACATGCTCTCAGCATCCTGTATCATCATTTAGAGGGACAGTATAATTTTGTGTTCAAGAACAAGTGTTCTAGAGTCAGAACATTTTTATTGCTGCTATAATAAACTAGCAAAAGTGATATTAGAAAATATATTTGGCCCTGTCACTGTGCCTAATTGGTGGAGCGTTGACCAGGAGTTCATGGTTCGATTTGCAGGGAGGGCGCATGCCTGGGTTTCAGGCTCAATTCCCAGGAGACATGCAGGAGGCAGCTGTTTGATGATTCTCTTTCATCACTGATGTTTCTGTCTCTCCCTCTCCCTTCCTCTCTATAAAATCAATTAAAAAAAGAAAGAAAGAAAAGTTATTTGCCTTTGTGCATGTAAATAAAAGGATGGGAATTGTTCTGTATCTAAAATTAGAAAATACAACACCATTAATTTCATTATGAATAATATTTAAAAATCTTTTTTGTATTTAAAGTCCATAAAGGAAACTGTCCAAAATCTAGCTTTTCTCTGCCTAATTAACTCTCTCAATGCACTGTCTTTCAAAATATGAGAAAAGATGAGAGTTACCTTGCACATACCTCAGAGGGAAAATTAACATTTGTCATCAGATAAAAGCTCTCTCAATCTTATAGTGTTCTACCCTTAGGTTTATGTATGTATACATTGAGCTAAAGTTTTATTTTTCATGCTTTCCCTTTTTTTGGTCTTAATGTAAACCTCTCTCTAGATATTTTATTTATATTTGTGATTCCATAACCATTCTCATAATTCACATAAACTATAACCTTCACTCTACTTGTTCTATCTTATTACACAATTTAAATACATTTTTATCAATAGAAAATATGTGGGCAAATTATGTAGTGAAAACATTCACACTAAAATAAATGCAAATGTCCAATCACATAAGATAAATCTTATCCTTGTTTGCAATCAGAAATTAAAAATTAAAAATGATTATAACTCATACATTATATTTTTAAACAACAGAATATGAAGATTTATGATAACAAGCATTAGTCTGTGTTAAAGAGCAACTATTGTGCACAACTGATTGGAGAAAGCAAAAATTAAAAGCAAAAATTTGGGCAGAGCAATTTAACTACTTGCCATAATAGGGACTAATATTCACATATACACATGGATGTACTAGGATATACAGTGATTCTTATTATAAAAGTGCCTATAATAAAATAGAACTTGAAACATTGAAAGTGTCCATTAATAAAGCAATATTAAACTTAAAAATCTGTGGCATATTTTTTATGTAGCACTCAGAAGCACTTAGAATAAAGTATATTTATAAAACTGATAGAAAAGCATCTAAATGAAAAAAAAGTAGAAATTTTATATTTTCATTAACATTAAAACACAATGAAAGCAAACATATATGCATGTGTATTTATAAATGTGGTTATATAAATATAAACGTTTATATATAATTATGTATATTATATAATTATGTATACTATTATGTAATATTTTTGTTGTTGTTGTGTGTGTATATAACCAAATACACAAACACATATAAGTATGTGTATTTATAAATACAGAAATGATCTAAAAGGATCATATTTAAGTTAGGAGATGTCTAAAATGTGGTGTATGGAAAGGTATAAGATAGCATAATTTAGTTGTATCACTATGGTTTGATTTTTTTTAACAGTGCCAATGTATTCTATATATTCATATATTATCTGTGTATTTTGAAGTAAGTAGATAAATAATGCAGAGTTACAATTGTATTCATCAGATAAAAAAGAAATTACAAATAAGATTTGGCTTTCTATGTCATCTAAAATATTAAGAATTGTTCTAAACTCTTGAAATACATTTTTTCATATTTCTCCACATAGAAAATCATTCACCTATTTAATTCATAAAAGTGATGATATGTCTTTGATCTTCATAATGTATCTTCACACACAAAATCCCTCAGTAACTTGGTTAGAATTAAAGTCTATTCACATGCCAGCTCCTTGAGATTATTTTTCTAGAAAACTTTATCCATCAATCATGCCCCTCTTTAGTGTCCTTATAGTCTACGCTCTTACCTGTCTTCTATCTCTTGTCACTTTTGTTTTATATTTCTGCATATTTTTCCTTTATTATATTACAAATTCTTACTTGGCAGAGGACATGCATTTTCATACATTTGCTGTCCCAATGAATGAATAAAGAAAAAGAGAAAAGGAGAAAATAAGAGATTTCTATCCATTTTCTGGTAAACAATTTCAATATAAATTTAAGATAGTGAAATCACGGTAAATCTATTTTAGTCCACACTATTTCTAAACAACTCTACATTAACAATTTCCTTGATTATAATATTACATCTTTCAAATACACCCAGGGATCACTCTCCAACAAAATTGAATTCTGTCTGCATTTTATTCCTTGTCTGATAAACATGCATTTTTTGCTAGATATGCATTTATTGCCATTTATTATTCATATTTATATATTTGTATACAGAATAGAGAAAAAGAGAGAATGGAGTGAAACTCATGCCCACTTTGGGGAAGGAATAAAGTAAAGTATAATATCCTCTGGATAAATTCTACAATCCTTTCCATCTTTTAATAAAGGCAAAATAAGTCTGCGTGAATTGGTTTATACTTGAGCAGCATGAAACATTGCTCAAGTATCATAGATTTGATCAGAATTTAGGATTGATGCATCTATACTCCCAGCCTTGCTTCATCAGCCTTCCTCTGATGTACTGAATTAAGCAGAGAAACCCATACCTGGATTTATTCTCAAGAAAGTTGGATTCTAATCTCAACCCATAGCAGAGTGGAACAGAGGCAGTTACTCAGGAGTCACAAACCCAAGTGGGTTCAGTTTTCTTAAGAAAACTTACACAAGCCTGTTTCTCACCAGAGTGCTGAAGCCAAGACACGGATGAGGGGACTGCACACTGCCTTACCTCACCAGGGGTTCTGTGGGGATCAGGATGAGCACCTACCTGGTCTGAGGAAGACATTAGTTCTCACAAGACATGCAACTTTTCCGAATGAGCTCAGTTATAGACTTGTCTCCTAATTTCTGAGACTCCCAGGGGTATGGAGAGGAGATGGCCTCACCGGGCTGTCTAGGGAAGAAACCAGTGGGAGTTGGAAGTATGAATTCAGAACTCAGGTTCTGAGTCTTTGAGTTCACACTTAAAATTTTTTTTTAAAGTTACAATTGATGTACAACATTATATTAGTTTCAGGTGTAAAATGCAGTTGTTAGACACTTTATGACTTACTAACTGCATATTAGAACTTAATAACTTATCATCCCATTTAATCTAGTAATCATCCGACACCATACACAGTTACCAGAAGATTATTGAGCATACTCCCTATGCTGTACTTTACATTCCTGTGACTGTTCTAAAACTACCAATTTGTACTTTTTATTCCCTTCACCTTTTTGACACATCCTCTCCATCCCTCTCCATCTGGCAAACATCAGAATGTTTCATGTATCTGTGAGTTTATTTTTGTTTTGCTTGTTCATTTACTGTTCTTTTTTTAAAGATTAAGTTTTTGATAGGTATGCATTTATTACAATATATTATTCATATTTATATATATTTTTCTTCTTACAGAAGACCATTTAACATTTTATGTAATACTGGTCTGGTGGCAAACAGCTTGCCTTATCTGGGAAGCTCTATCTGTCCTTTGATTCTAAATTATAGCTTTGCTAGGTAATCTTGATTATAGATTCTTGCTTTGTATCACATTGATTTTATTGTACCAACCCCTTCTGGTCTGCAAAGTTTCTTTTGAGAAATCAGCTGGGAGACCCCTTGTAGGTAACTAATTTCTTTCCTCTGGCTGCTTTTAGGGTTCTGACTTTGTCTTTAACCTTTGGCATTTTAATTATGATGTGTCTTGGTGTGGGCCTTTATGGGTTTATCACTTTCTATGCTTCCCAAACTTGTATTCTATTTCCTTCGCCAGGTTAGGGAAATTTTTCATTATTATTATTTCACATAGGTTTTCAATTCCTTGCTCTCCCTCTCTTTCCTCCTGGTACCCACATGATGCCAATATTAGTATGTTTATAGTTGTTCCAGAGGTTCCTTATACAATCCTAATGTGTGTGTGTTTTTTTAAAATTCCTTTTTCACTTTACTGTTCTGATTGTGTATTTTTTGCTTCTTTATTTTCCAAATCTCCAATTTGATCCTCTGCTTCATCTACTCCCCTGTTGATTCCGTATAATGTATTCACTTCAGTTAGTATACCCTCAATTTCTGATTGTTTCTTTTTTATGGTTTCCATGTCCTTTTACGCTGTAGAAGTTCTCTCTAAGTTCAACTACTCTTCCCCAAGTTCATTGAGCATCCTTATAACCAGTATTTTGAACTCTACATCTGGTAGATTGCTTGTCTCCATTTTGTTTAGTTCTTTTTCTGGAGTTTTGTTCTGTTTTTTGTTTTGTTTTGTTTGTTTGTGTTTTTTTTGGAGGGGGGCATGTTTATTTCCTTATTTTGGCAGTCTCCCTGTTTGTTTCCATGTATTAGGAAGATCTGCTACATCTCCTGGCCTTG